TTTAGAAATTGTATATCCTCAGTACTAGTATGTGCATGTCAAAATGATGATAATTGAACTTAGAAGAAAATAGGAAAACATTTTCAGTAATTCAGGAAAGAAATGTTTCAATTACTGGAAATTCTGGAGAAAAAAATAACAACAAAGTAATATGTGTCTCCTTCACTGGCAGAAATCCTCTAACTCAACAAGTTAGAGGACAGAGGAGCTGCAGGATCTTCAGGTGTAAGCAGTGATTCAGGTAAAAGCTAACATATTCCCAAGTCCCATATGGTCTCTCTGCTCTTCTGAGATAATACAGCTTTCTCTTCTTTTAGCCAATCTTGTTCAATTTTGGCCAAGAGCCTTTCATCGGATTATTTATCATGAAATGCTTCTAAGAAAAGACCCTAAGAAAAGTAATTTCTAGTTCTTGTGATAAATGAAGAAAGTAGAAACAGAAAATAGTATAGAGTTGTTTTCAGAAAATGCTGTGTAGTTAAGTTTCACTGGGAGACACAAGTCATGTAACACTTTGAGACACATATTTCTTTCAGGTGTCGTTTTGCAGGTGCTGCTTAGAGTAATAGAGTTAGATAAGATTTTGTCTTATTATAGAATAATATTTTAAAGATATGTATATGTTTACATCATAAAACTCCAATTGTACCTATGAATGCACAAAAATATATGATAATGTATACAATTATATAAAAATAATACTTTCAGGAATATTTGCCAAAACAGTATATTTGAAATTATGAGATACCAACAAAGAAAATTAAAGACACAGAAAAAGAAAAATATCACATTTTCAAATACTACAATAATTAACATTATCAAAATAATTATTGTACAAATAATTCAGCAAAATAATTCAAAATGAGAAGAAAATTTATATAAAGAATAATATGCATACATTCGATACACAATTATTAATTAAATTTATGTGGTACACTCTCAGTAAAAAGTGAAATGAAAATAACCTGAATTAAAGTGAACAGAGAATTAGCATACTTATTAATCAAAGAAAATAGAAAATAGGACACACATATCTGAGATCCAAGGCCAACCTTTGCAAATGAGAGAAAGCTCCAGAAGGGCTGCATTACCACCTCACTCAGATTGATGGCTTCCATCTTTGTCCATTGACCTGACATTTTCACAATTTTTAATATCTGAAAATATTTAATTCTGTAAATGTAACAAATTTTTCCAGTATAATAATCAGTTAATGAGTAGGAACCTACACCTTGAGTTCTACAGGCTACACTAGCATGCATTGCTAGTAGCAATGAATAAATAAATGTTCCTCTTTCACCACGCCCACAATGGCAATGTTCATCATTTGTTTGTTCAGATCCTATCTGTTCTGCTTGGGTAGGCTAGAGTTTCAATGCTGTTTTAAATTTTATTTCCAGAGTACCTAGGCTTCTCAACCATCAGTATTTTGTCTTTTGAGAACTCTGTTTGGCTCCATTCCCAGATTGTAAACTATTCTATTTGCTTTCTCAATGTTCAGTTTCTCAGTTGTTTGTATACTATAGACATTACCTTTCTGCCATATATATATATATATATATATATATATATATATATATATATATATA